GTATCAAGCCAATTAACATATTATCACCTCATCCACTTATCATGTTTTATGGTAAGAACATTTAAAATTCATTCTTATAGCAATTTTGAAATATGCAATACATTATTATTAACTATGGTCACCATGCTTTGTGACAAATCTCAAAAGATTATCCTCCTATCTGACTGAAACTTTATATTAATACCTTTTGACCAATATCTCCCTGTTCCTCCCCTTACCTTCACCTTCTGGTAATCACCATTCTAGTCTCTACTTCTATGAGATTGACTTTTTAAGATTCCACATATATGTGAAATCATGCAATATTTGTCTTTCTGTGCCTGTCTTATATCACTTAACATAATGTCCCCCAGGTTCATCCCTGTTTTCCCAAAAGTCAGAATTTCCTTCTTTTTAAAGGCTGAATTGTGTATACACGCATCACATTTTCTTTATCCATTCATTTGTTGGTGGACACTTAGGTTGATTCCGTATCTTGCCCATTGTGAATAATGCTTCAATGAACATGGGTGTGCTGATATGTCTTTGACATACTCATTTCAATTCCTTTGGCTATATACTCAGAAGTAGAATTTCTGGATCAGATGGTAGTTCTATGTTTAGATTTTTGAGGGACCTCCAACTGTTTTCCATAATGGCTGAACTAATTTACATTTCTGCCAACAGTGTGCAAGGATTTATTTATTTTTTTTAATTTTGGCATATGATGGGGGTACAGATTTTAAGGTTTCAATAAATGCCCTCTCCCCTCTCCCCCCACAAGTCTGAGTCTCCAGCATGACCATCCCCCAGATGGTGCACATCTCACTCATTATGTATGTATATACCCACCCCCCCACCCCCCTGCCCAATGCCCTATTACTGTAGTACCTATGTGTCCACTTAGGTGCTGCTCAGTTAATACCAGTTTGCTGGTGAGTATATGTGGTTCTTGTTTTTCCATTCTTGGGATACTTCACTTAGTAGTATGGGTTCCAGCTCTAACCAGGAAAATATAAGGTGTGCTATGTCACCATTGTTTCTTAGAGCTGAATAGTACTCCATGGTATAAGTATACCACATTTTATTAATCCATTCTTGGATTGATGGGCACTTGGGCTGTTTCCACAGCCTTGCAATTATGAATTGTGCTGCTATAAACATTCGAGTGCAGGTGTCTTTTTTGTAGGGTCTCATTGGATCTTTTGGGTAGATGCCCAGCAATGGGATTGCTGGATCAAATGGTAGATCCACTTGTATCACTTTAAGATATCTCCATATTGTTTCCACAGAGGTTGAACTAGTTTAGTGTGAAAGGATTTTTTTCTCCCTATCTTTGCCAACACTTGTTATCTTTCATCTTTCTGATAATAGCCACTGTAACAGGTGTGGAGTGATACCACCTTGTGGTTTTGATTTGTATTTCCCTGGTGATTAGTGGTATTGAGCATTTTCCTATAAGCTGGCCCTTAAAAATTTTTTTTTATGTTTTTTGAGACAGAGTCTCACTCTGTTGCCAAGGCTAGAGTGCCATGGTGTCAACCTAGCTCACAGCAACCTCAAACTCCTGGGCTCAAGCGATCTTCTTGCATCAGCCTCCTTAGTATCTGGGACTACAGGCATGTGTCACCATTCCTGGATAATTTTTTCTATGTCTAGTTTTAGTTGTTCAGCTAATATATTTCTATTTTTAATAGAGACGAGGTATCCCTTTTGCTCAGGCTGGCTTTGAATTCCTGAGGTCAAACGATCCAACTACCTCAGTCTCCCAGAGTGCTAGGATTACAGGCGTGAGCCACTGAGCCAGGCCTATAAACTGGTCTTGAACTCCTCGGCTCATGGTCTTTTCCTACCTTAGCCTCTCAAAGTGCTGGGATTAGAGACATGAGTCACCGCACCCAGGTCATCTTTTCTAATATAGGCATTTTAATGCTATAAATTTCTCTCTAAGTACTGCTATAGCTGCCTCACAATTTGTGATATATTGTATTTTCCTTTTTATGTAATTCAATATATTTCAAAATTCCCTTAAGACTGCCTCTTGATGCATGAAATATTGAGAAGTGTGCTTTATAATTTCCAAGTGCGTAGAGAATTTTGTTATATTTTTGTTATTAATTTCAAGTTTAATTTCATCATGATTTGAGAACATACTCTATATTTTTCATTTTTTTGAAATTGGCTAATATTTGTTTTATGATCCAGGATGTAGTCCATTTTGGTAAATGTTCCATGAGCATGTTTAAAGATTATGTATTCTCCTGTTTTTAGGTGGAATGTCCTCTAAATGTCAATGATATTCAGGTGATTGATGGTGTTATTTATTTATTCCATACCTTTGTTTATTTTTTGTTTACTAGTTATAGCTACTATTGAGAGAGGAGTATTGAAGGCTTCTATTTTAAGTGCTGATTTTCTATTTTTCCCTTCAGTTATGTTGGTTTTTGCTTATATATTTTCAACTGTGTTGTTTAGTGCATATAGGATGCATTTAGGATGTCTTCTTAGTGATTTAACTGTTTTTTGATTATGAAATATTCTTCTTTATCCATGATAATTTTGTTTGCTCTGAAGTCTACTTTATCTGATATTAACATGGCCACTCTACCTTTGTTTTAACTAGTTTTTACATGGTATAGTCATACCACAGAGATATTTTGGGTTCAATTTCAGACCACAGCAATGAAGTGAATATCATAATAAAACAAGTCAAATGAATTTTTTGGTGCTCCAGTGCATAGAAAAGTTTTTAGTATACAATAGTCTATTGAGTGTGCAATATCATTATGTCTAAAAAACAATGTATATACCACCAATAAATATACTTTGTTACTAAAAATGCTAATGAGGTGAATACATGTAGTTGGAACAATGGTGCCAATACACTTGGTAGACATAAAGCTATCACAAACCTTCAATTTGTAAAAAAATAAAATATTTACTAAGGCCAATAAAACAAAGTGCAATAAAATGAGGTGTGCTTGTTTACCTTTTTCCAGTATTTATCTGTAGCCTACTTAAATCATTATATTTGAAGAGAGTCTTCTAGACAGTGTATAGTTCAGTCATTAAAAAATCCATTCCGATAATCCCTGTATTATACATAGCACATTTGAATTATTTACATTTAATATAATTATTGACATATTTGGACACATATCCACCATTTTATTATTTGTTTACTGTTTGTTCTCTCTGTTGTAGTTCCTCTATTTCCCCTTTCATGCCTATTTTTGGGTTATTTGAATATTTGGTGTTTCAGTTAAATTTGTTTATTGCAATTTTGACTTTATCCTGTTTAATTTTAAAGTCATTTCTATAGGAATTATAATACATACACTTAACTTTTACAGTACACTTAGAATCAACATCTTGGAGCATTTTGGAATCAACTTTAAGTAGAATTTAGTCATCTTAACCATTGTATGGGTTTCTTTGTCCTCCTCCCTTTTTTTTTAATTTTAGCGTATTATGGGGGTACAAGTGTTAAGGTTACCTATATTGCCCATGTCCCCCCTCCCCCCTCGAGTAAGAGCTTCAAGCATGTCCATCCGCCAAACGGTGCACATCTTACTTGTTGTGGTTGTATATACCCATCCCCTCCTCCCCCCTCCCACCCTCCTAATACCCGATAAATGTTACAACACTTAGGTGTTGATCAGTTAATACCAATTTGCTGGTGAGTACATGTGGTGCTTGTTTTTCCATTCTTGAGATACTTCACTTAGTAGGATGGGTTCCAGCTGTATACAGGAATATATAAGAGGTGCTATATCACCATTGTTTCTTAAAGCTGAGTAATACTCCGTGGTATACATATACCACATTTTATTAATCCACTCATGAATTGATGGGCACTTGGGTTGTTTCTACAGCTTTGCAATTGTGAATTGTGCTGCTATAAACATTCGAGTGCAGGTGTCTTTTTCACAAAGTGACTTTAACAGACAATACTTAAACATTTTGGATGATATTTTCCAAGGAATCGTTAGGCAGCCTTTTTCCTTTCAGTCTTCAGGTTTATCTACAAGTTATGACCCACAAAGTTCAGGCACAATCATAGGGTCCTACAAGTTTTGGCCATTGTCAACATCATCCCAAATTCCTAATCTCTCTTGAATCTTCCCTTCAAAGGATATTGGATATTCATTCTGTTAAGGATACCGTTAGTAGTAGTTTTCATCCTTGTTTCATGATTAGCAGGAGGGATAGAATCAGAAATATCAACATTACAACTGGAAATCCTTTTTAAAATTAAGTATCTCAAGAAAATACAGTTTTAGAGTCATTAGAGTGAGAAGAGTGAGAAAGAAAATTGGCTGAAACCTGAGAAAAGAAGGCCTTTATAGCAAGATGCAAATTATTGGCCCCTTCTGGGAGGTATCTAGTATTTTTGATAAAATGTTTGGACAACTTTTCTTAAGTTGGACAACTTTCTTAAAGATAATTACCAGTATTACCAGTGAAAATATTACAGTGTTCCCAGGACCATCATCCTGTGGCAATCCTAGTAATTTTAGCCAGATATTATTTTCTTGTATTCAGACTAACAATGTTATCTAGCTATATATTTTTTTCCTGTAAAAATCTATATAGTAGGGGTTATATCTCTTTTTTATTTAACATATTAAAAATTAAAAATAATAACTTAAAAATATCTATATTAATTGTTTAAAATAACTGTAATAAACATTTATTTTAGGATAAATAACATGTATTTATTTAAAATAACTATATTTGAAAAAGTTGGGGAAGAGTAGCATTGTTTAATATTTTTTGCAAAGTTTTTAAGTGTCTGGCTCAAAAATCTATATACAAAGAAAGATTTGAACTGTTTTTTGGGCAGTATTTTCTTCTCTTTGGCAAGTTTGAAATGTAACTTTGACACCTCTTTAATGTAAATTCATCTGAGATGTTGCTTTAAGAAGGAAAGGGCTTGAGAAACTCTTCCTGAATTTTCATGGGAGGAATTTTATAAATATTGTCTAGAATTTCCATGGAGTTTGAGGTCATTATCTTTATTAAAGACTCAAAATCTTTCTGGCCACATCCTTGAAGGCTTCTTTTACTTGTTTGTTCCTTAGAGTGTAAATGAATGGGTTCAGTAAAGGGGCAACTGAAGTATTGAGCATTGCTATTCCCTTATTGAAGGCAACTCCTTCTTTTGCTGAAGGTTTTATATACATGAAGATGCAGCTGCCATAAGATAGAGAGATAACAATCATGTGAGAAGAACAGGTGGAAAAGGCCTTTTTCCTTTGCTGAGCAGAAGGGATCTTCAGAATGGTCCCAATGATGTTTGTGTAGGAAAGAATCACCAGCACCAAGGTGACCACCAAGATCACAACTGCTAAGATAAAGTCCACCAATTCCAGTAGACTTGTGTCTGAGCAAGATATTTCTATGAGAGGTCCATAGTCACAATAATAATGATTCAGCATATTGGAAGCACAGAAATCCAGCTGACTGGTCAGGATGATGGGGGGTAAGATAATTAGGAATCCACCCAGCCAGGAGCAGAGAACCAGCTGGACACAGACCCTGTTGCTCATGATGGTGGTGTAATGCAGGGGTTTGCAGATGGCCACGTAGCGGTCATAGGACATGGCAGTAAGAAGGTAAAACTCTGTGGCCCCCAAAAATATGGCAAAGAAATACTGAGTGAAGCATCCAGCAAAGCTGATGGTTTTATTCCCCGTAGAGATGCTGAACAGCAGCCTGGGAGTGAAAGTGGTCGTAAAGAAAATTTCCAAGCAGGAGAAGTTCCGAAGGAAGAAATACATGGGAGTCTGGAGGTGGGAGTCCAGTAGTGTGAGTGTGATGATTGTCAGATTTCCAATGATGCTGAATATGTAGGTGAAGAAGAGAAATATAAAAATTACAGCTTGAATCTCTGGGATGTCTGTTAGTCCCAAAAGAATGAATTCTGTCAGAAAGGTTTCGTTTCTCATTTCTAACCTTTGCTGCCAATGAAGGTACAAAGGAAAAAAGTCAGTGATGTGGATAGAAGAGCTCAGGAACATTTAGGAAATGCTAATTTTTCCCTGTTCAATTGGTTCAAGTGTCTCTTTTTTTATGTCAACCTTCCTCAAACAAGGTTTTCTATTTGATAGGGACTGGCTCTTCACAAGAACGATTTTCTTAAATTCTCATGTATGAGGATTTCTCCATGGCTCCTCTTCAGAATTTTCATGTACTTTCCTAGTCTACCTTTTAAACCAATGCTTGAGATATTATTATCTCCATTTTGTTTTTATTTTCACTTTGAACATGCTTCTACTTCAATAAATTAAAAAATTTAATTATTATGGGTATATAATACTCCTGTATTTTTATAGGGTACATGTGATGATTTGATACAGGCATATAGTTTGAGTTAATCAAATCAGGGTAAGTGGGGTATTCATCTCTTCAGGCATTTATCATTTCTTTGTGTCAGGAACATTCCACTCTTTAGTTATTTTAAAGTTGCTCTAACTTACTGTTGATTATTGTCCCTGTGTTGTGCTATCAAATATTGTTCATTCCATCTAACCATCTGAATATATTTTTGCACCCATTAACCATCCTCACTTTATCCCCACCTTCCCACTACACTTCCAAGCTTCTGGTTACCATCATTCTACTCTCTATCTCTGTGAGATCTTTTTTTTTTTTTTTTTTTTACTATTTAGCTCTCACATATGAGCGAGAACATGCATGCATGTCTTCTGTGCCTGGCTTATTTCACTTAATATAATGTTCTACAGTTCTACCCATGTTGTTGCAAATGACAAGATTTCATTCTTTGTTGTTGTTATATAATATTCCATCGTGCATATGTACCACAATTTTTTTATCCATTCATCTGTTGATGGACACTTAGGTTGATTTCAAATCTTAGCTATTGAGAATAGTGCTGCAATAAATGCAGGGAGTGGAGATATCTTTTCAGTATACTTATTTCCCCTCCTTTGGGTGTACACCCAGCAGTGGGATTGCTGGGTCATACGGCAGTTCTTTTTCAGTTTTTGTGGAACTTCTATATTGTTCTCCATAGTGTCTGTAATATTTACATTCCCACCAACAGTGTACAAGGGGTTCCCTTTCTCCTCATCCTCTGCAGCATTTGTTATTGCCTGTCTTTTTGCTGAAAGCTGTTTTAACTGGGTGAGATGATATCTCATTGTAGTCTTGATTTGCATGTCTCTGATGACTAATGATGTTGAGTATTTTTTCATACCTTTTGCATGCCTCTACTTTGATCTTTCATTTTATTATATCTGCAAATTTGGCAGTAATGTCTCATTTCCATCATTGCCTTGCTCTCAGTGGGAGAAGAAAAGAAGTTAGCTCACAGTTGAGGAGTCTTTGGGCAGGAACTAGCAATATCATTAAAATTGTGGTAACTAAAGATTTTCCAATGTCCTTTTGATTTTTTGAATTTGTGGCCCATTGTAACTAACAGTATCAGTCTCTAAATATTTGCTGCTAGTGCCTGCTTTCCCTCAGGTCCCAGTTCTTCTATTGTAGTTGGTTTTAGCGGAAAGACAGATGGCATCTTTCTAATCAGGTTCCTTCTATCATTTTTCTTCCATATCTATGTTTATTAATAAGCACTCTATGGGGAGTTTTGACACAGGATAAATGCACAGAGATGTCTTATTCTGAGATAGGAATTAATATAATGATGCATTCTATTCAGGCATTAACCATTTTCTATTTTAAAAGCAGATTACAAGTTCTTTGAGGGTAGGGGAAGGGCAAAAGAAGCAAGACTTATTGAATGATCACAGTGTCGGCTTTGTGATAGGCTCTATATTAATAAATATATTATTCCTCTTTCTTGGCATTCTTTTATCCCCCAATAACAAAAGCAAGAACATATAGTATGGGCAAAATATATATATTTTAAATAAATGAAAAAATGAGTGCCTCCACCTCCTTACTTTATTCCCTATTTGCCTCTTTACCTTTGGCTATTTACCATATAAACTGTACATGTTCCCAAGCTTGTCTAGCAACTGATAAGAATGTTCAAGAGTCAGCCTAGAGTAAAGTCACTTCACTCCATAAATTGATTTTTACCTTTTCTTTCTCTTGTCTACTGATGAACCATCAGTGAGTCCTGTGTTACCTGGTCTCTGCTGGGATTTCAAGAGCTGGAAGCCAGGCTTCTATCAGTAAGGTTGTATTTTGAAATTTTTCTTGTTCATCATTGGTGCTTTTCTATCATTGAGTAATAAAAATCTGTATTTGTTCCATTTGTTATTGAAGGTAAGGGGAATATAATACTTTTATTTTTCAGGGTTTTGTTATTTTATTTTTTGAATTGACAAATAAAGTTATATGTATTTATTCTCTAAGCCTCCTGGATGGGATGGGTTACTTTCTTTGGGATATAGGTAAAGCCTCAGCACAGAGAATTAAGAAATGGGCTACCAGATTACTGGTCATAATGTTCTTTTTCAGAAAAATCAGTATTTCTCACAAGAAACCTTGAATATCAAGAATCCTTTGGGCTTCTTCATATTGTTATAACCTAAGGTCCCTGAAATAAAGAAATCTTAAGCCCTACCCCCATATCCTTAGGCCACATCTGAAACACCAGGGATGTATCTTTTTTGTTGCCCCCAAGAATGAATCCTAATCACTAGGATGTATGGAATGAGGCCATGTCATCTGGTGACCCGAATATCTATAAGACTCTGGCACTTCCTAGTAATTAATTTTTTTGTTTTTTGGTGAACAGCTCTAGGTTATCATTCAAACCTTCACATTCATATTTCACATAAATTTTATAAAATTCTGCATCCATAATTTCACATGGTTATTCATTTTAGCTTTGTTTATAAATGTAAAAAGTTGAAAACAATTTAAATGTTCATGAATAGGGAGATGACTAACAATTTTGGCATATGTAAACTACAAAATGCAATAGGCCAATAAAAACGAATGGGAAAGATTTATGTAAACTCATTTGGAAAGATGTATTTAATACACTGCTATGTGAGTAAAGCAATCTGCTAAACAATCATATATTATATGATCCCATTTGGGTTGAAAAGATATCTGTATCTATATCTATATTTAATATATGTATATATGATACAAATGATGTAAATTAAATTTTACATACATAATCATGTAGATCTGAAAACATAAATTGTTATTAGTAATTACTTTTATGGAGTTAGATGAGGAAGTGGGGGCATATAGGAGCTTTCTCTTCTTTATACTTGTCTATATTGTTTGAATGTTATAAAACGAGCATAGCCACGTTTTAACTAAAAATATAAAAAATTACAGTTATATGATTTCATGCTCCACAATCACAAAAAAGTAACATTTATATAATTATAAGCTGAGAATATACTTACCCTTGACTTTCAGGGCAAGTGCCATGGGATTTTAACCTTGGGTGTCCATGGGATGAGTCACAACTTAGAAATCAGATATGGACGGAAGGTGGCATAAAATTTAACTTGTTTGCTTGTTTGCTTTCTCACTACTACTTGTTGATGTAATTATTCACAAAATTCACAAATTTTTGAAAATTTAGTAGAAAAAATGCTACTCAGCCTGATGTATATCAGTTTAGCTCTTACTTGCCACTTCTTAGTTACACATTAGTTTAAATGCACCCTGGCCAGTAAGTAATCCTTCAGGATTATTTAAGTTATGTGTGCTTATAGTAGTGACAATAAAACCTTAGGGAAGCACTCCTGATTCGAAGCCTTATTTCCTATGTTCTGACTCGTCTGAGCCTGGATATATGCTTCCTCTCTGATTTAACATTAGCCTGAAGCCCATTTTAAATGTTTTATTCTGAGGAGACCTCAGCATAATCAGCTGAGGAAAGAAATGAAAGATCCCAGGAGACCCACATCCAGAAAATAACTAATGAACCCTATTCTTTGAAAACTCTCAAATTTTTAATAAGAGATAAGGGAAGAAGTCCAAAGAGACTCTGAGGAAGCTAGCAAGAAAACATCAGCATAGTACAAAAGCCTTATGAAAACTGCAGTAATAATAATGTTTAAAAATAATTTCATAGGAAATAGAGCAATAACAGGTTTTTCAAATGTATTCATTTATTTATTTAAATCTACAGATATAATTGTGTGTACACCATGATGTTTTTCTTTTTTTTGAGACAGAGTCTTACTTTATTTGCCCAGGTAAGTGAGTGCGTGGCATCAGCCTAGCTCACAGCAACTCGACTCCTGGCTCAAGCAATCCTACTGCTTCAGCCTCCCAAGTGACTGGGACTACAGGCATGTGCCACCATGCCCGGCTAATTTTTCTCTTTATATATTAGTTGGCCAATTAATTTCTTTCTTTTATAGTAGAGATGGGGTCTCGCTCTTGCTCAGGCTGGTTTGAACTCCTGACCTTGAACAATCTGCCTGCCTTGGCCTCCCAGAGTGCTAGGATTATAGGCGTGAACCACCGCACCTGGCCCACCATGATGTTTTGAAGAATATATACATTGTAGAATAGTTAAATCTAGCTAATTAACATATGCATTACCTCACATAGTTATCATTTTTGTGGTGAGAACACTTAACATCTACTCTTCTAGCATTTTTCAAGAATACAATGTATTGTCATTAACTGTAGTCACCATGCAATACAAGTTCAATAGATCTCTTGAACTATTTCTCCTGTCTAACTGTAATTTTGAATACTTTGACCAATATTTCCCCAGCCCCTCAACCCCCAACTGCCCTAGCCTCTGGGAGCCACCATTCTATTTTATTTCTACGAGATCAACTTTTTTAGATTTCACATATATGTGGTAATACCTTATTGCTTTGTTTTACCTCTTATGCTATTTTTTTTTAACTCCTGTTAGGCATTTGTTTAACTTCCAGGTGGTTCTTTCATGTCTCTTTTTTTTTCTTTTTCTTTTCTTTTCTTTTTAATTTAGCATATTATGGGGTACAAGTGTTAAGGTCACCTATATTGC